ACCTTCATTCCATGTTTGGTTTCCCCTAATATAACAATTGTGCTCTACAAGCTTCTATCAAGGTATTTTAGAATGTTATATCTCTAGAACTCTACGGAGATATCTAAAAGTAATAGAATGGACGCAAAAACAAAATATCATATACGCAACACAATACAATTTAAAAACATGAACTACTTTATAGAGTAGTGTGATGTTATATATGTTTTCTTGTATGTAATAGTAAATTAGTCTTGCAAGTAAAATTTGTCAATACACAAATCTATATCTCTAAAGGTTGTCATAGTTCCCATGAAAAACATATTCTAATACAAGTCTATTTTCACATGGTAGAGTTGCAACATTGAACATTGTACCTTAATATTTAGTAATATGTTTGTGTGGTTAATTCCACTTTTCATGGTAGATAAATATAAAATATTCTAGTAAGGGTAAGTGTTGAACATGGTATAAATAGAAATATAATAGTTGTAAAATTGTTAGGATGAGTTATCGAGAAGTAAAAAAAAGAAACACGTACCAATCTTAACCTTGGGACGCTTCCCAAGCTCATGGTACGTTCTTACTCCAACCATTTTGCCTCGCTATGAGGTTCTTCTTGCTCCGTTTCCTCGAGGATGCAGCTCTTGCGATCTGAAGGCCTCTCGTCAGATATTAGAACAAGGAGAGTTTGATACTATGTGGTGTACTTTCCATTCATAAGTCTACCCAATAATTTAAACAAAAGCTTCATCCGATTAAAATTTCATCTTCGAACAGAGAAATCAACTAATAGCAACAATAATCATCATTGCAGTCCTCATGTATGATATATAACATATAAATTACTAAAATGCACCAAAATAAGCACATATGTCATGAATAAGATCGATTGTGTCAGTTTGCTACTCTAATTTTTTTAGCATAAACAATGGTTGTACTAGGAATCATGCTCAAAGAATTCGTACTTGATATACGCACCAATAAATATTTTTGTTCTCTCTATAAAACAAGCATCATAGCAAGAAAGTAGATTAGCCCAAATTTTGGACTCGATTGTTTTGCTGTGGTGCCTTATCTCTACCTAGATGATGGTCTGACATCTCAACTAGATCAAAATTCTCATCCATCCCATGTGCCTACAGATGATTACTTGCACATGGATGGGGAGACCATGATGGCGAATGGAGAAGGAGTTGATAGTAACCCATGATACGTCTCCAACGTATCTATAATTTATGAAGTATTCATGCTCTTATATTATTATTCTAGGATGATTTACAATTATTTTATAGCAACTTTATATCATTTTTGGGACTAACCTATTGACATAGTGCCTAGTGCCAGTTGCTGTTTTTTGCTTGTTTTTTACATCACAGGAAATCAATATCAAACGGAGTCCAAACGCAGCGATTTTTTTTTAAAGAATATTGTTGGACCAGAACACCCAGGATGAGCCAGAGAAGTACCGGAGGGGTGCCCCAAGGGGGGCACAACCCACCTGGGCACGCCTAGGGGCCCAGGCGCGCCCTAGTGGGTTGTGCCCACCTCGGTGGCCTCCCGCACCGCCTATTCGCCCTATAAATCGTCAAATATTCCAAAAACCCTCGGGGTAACCATAGATCAGAAGTTTCGCCGCTGCAAGCCTCTGTAGCCACGAAAAACCAATCTAGACCCCATTCTGGCACTCCACCGGAGGGGGAGATCATCACCGATGGCCATCTTCATCATCCCGGCGGCCACCATGATGAGGAGGGAGTAGTCCCACCCTCGGGGTTGAGGGTTTGTACACGTAGCTATGTGTTTAATATCTCTCTCTCTCATGTTCTTGATGGTATGATCTTGATGTATCAGGGCTTTGTTAATATAGTTGGATCATATGGTGTTTTCCCCTCTCTTATCTTGTTGTGATGAATTTAGTTTCCCTTTGAGACTTCGTTATTATCGGATTGAATACTTTTATGAATTTGAGATCACTTGATATATGTCTTGCATATGAATACCCGTGGTGACAATGGGGTATTATATTGATTCACTTGATATATGTTTTGGCACTCAACTCGCGGATTCCCGAGGTGACATTGGGGTAATCTATGCATAGGGGTTGATGCACGTTCTTGTCTTTGTTTCTCAGGTAGAAATCTTGGGGCACTCTTTAAGGTTTTTTGTGTTGGATTGAGTATTATGAATTTGAAATTGTTTGATGCGTATCATATAATTAACTCACGGATACTTGTGGTGACATTGGGGTATCTAGGTGACATTGGAGTTGGTTGATGTGTATCATATGGTGTTATTTTAGTACAAACTCTTGGATAGGTCGAACGGAAAGGATAACGTTGCGTTATTTTAGTACGAACTCTTGAATAGATCGAATGAAATGAATAACTTTAAGGTGGTTTCGTACCCTACAAACAATTTCTTCTTATGTTCTCCGCTAGATAAGAACTTTGGAGTGGTTCTTCATCACACGTTGAGGGATGGTTATATGATCCAATTATGTTAGCATTGTTGAGAGATTGCACTAGCAAAAGTACAGACCCTAGGCTTCATTTTCAAGCATTGCAATACTGTTTGTGGTCACTTTTGTTACTTGCTACCTTGCTATTTTTATTGTTACTATTATAAAAATCAATATCTACTATCCATATTACACTTGTATCAACATTTCTTCGCCAAACTAGTGCACCTATACAATTTGCCATTGTATTGGATGTGCTTGGGACACAAGAGATTTCTTGTATTTGGTTGCAGGGTTGTTTGAGAGAGACTATCTTCATCCCATGCCTCCCACAGATTGATAAACCTTAGGTCAGCCACTTGAGGGAAAACTGCTACTGTCCTACAAAACTCTACGCTTGGAGGCCCAACACGAGTCTATAAGATTAAAGTTGCGTAGTAGACATCAACCCACCCCCTTCCAGAGGCATGATCTTCCTCCCAACAACCCTCTAGTACGAAGACCAGCAATGGCAGTGGCCTCCAAAAAATATATGTGATACTTGGGTCTTTATGGACTAGGGGACTGGGGCACCGAGACCAGGGAAATGTTTTACGGGGCGCGCCAACCTTACAACTCTTAGGTTGGCCAGTTGGGAGTTACGGGACCCTTGGTTCCCATCTTCTGGCCTATGTCCTTTTTTGTTCAAAACCTTACTTGGATTTTCTCAATTTTTTGAACGAAGAGTTTTTTCTGCACAAATGATAACCCCCAACACAATTTTGCTGGAAACAACTATTAGTTTTTATTCATTAGAGTAAGTTTAGAGGATAAAATCTAAGTAGAATAGTTCAAAAAGTACATACGTTTAGGACGTATCATGTCCTGCTTTCTGATAGGTTAGGTTGTCTTGGCGAGGTGGTGACGGCGTTCATGGGGCAGAATATGTCCTCACCACTCCATCGCCACTCTAACGATCCTCACTCCATTTCTGACAGGGAAGCGTGTGGTGGGTGGCAGTCCGCCGATCCTTCATTAGATCTAATGAGTTGTTTAGGAGTCGGTGACAGTTCGATACTTCAGTTATGTTTAGTGGTAGCGTTGGCCCTTCAAATAAGTTTGGAAGGGGCAACTATAGTGTTTTCTAGTGTGTGACGAGCATATCTGGGCATCTTCCTCAACGAGCCAACGGTGGCCTTAGATCTAGGGACACATAAGTATGGGGCGTGTCCCCCCGACCAATTTTTCGATGACTTGCATCCCGTATTTAGAGGTGGGTGGCTACTAGAGCCTAGAGCTCGTAAAGCCTATGGATGAGGTCCCCCCTCTATTCCTTGGATGACAGTCGACTATGTTGCTCTTCTACAACGGTTACTTCAACGATGGCAGAGCTTAACAGCGATTGGCGACCCTTGCAATCACAGAAAGAGACCGTAGATGTTTTATGCTCTTTTGATACTTTCATGGGGGCCTTTGTAAGGTCTTTGCGAATAATTAATAAAATGATTGTATGCATCGTCCAGATGCAGAGGCCGGAGGTCATCCTACTTTTCAAAATAAAAATAAAAATGGGGCCTTTGTGTATTTCGATGGAACCAGCTTGGTTGCATTTTTTTTTGGTTTGGGTCTTTTGGCTCATTGCTTATGTTCTGTTATCTTTTCAGTTTTCTCATGTACTAATAAACCAAGACGGAGGCAGTAGATGTCTACTGCTGCGTCACTTGTATTTTATTCTTTGTTTTACAAATGAGACACGTATTACCTTAAAATATGTAGGGATGTGTAGGCTGAAGCGTATGTTTAAATAAACGGCAGTAGGAGAGACCAGTAAACCAGAATGGAGGTAATAGATGTCTACGACTACGTCACTTATATTTTATTCTTTGTTTTACAAATGAGACATGTATACCTTAAAATATGTAGGGATGTATAGGCTAGAACATATGTTTAAATAAACGGCAGTAGGAGAGACCAGTGAACCAAAACGTAGGTAGTAGATGTCTACAACTACGTCACTTGTATTTTATTCTTTGTTTTACGAATGAGACACGTATTATCTTAAAATATATAGGGATGTGTAGGCTAGAACCTATGTTTAAATAAACGGCAGTAGGAGAGACCAAAATTGACAGCTCCTTTGTATTTACAAGAGAAGTGTCACAAAGCACCCACGTCAAAAAAAAAAGTGTCACAAAGCACAAATCACAAAGTTCAAAACTCAAAAAGAAACATATGCCACGGTCACAGCATTGTTCTCTTCACACACGCGACACTTGAATCGAATGTACACTTGGGGGTGGATTAACAAGACAAAAATAAATGTGAGACATGCAACAGGAATATTTACCACGCGATCAGACAGGAAAATGAGACCATCCATGCAGAAAGGACAATACCGGCACCTAAACTACTATACGGACGACGTTTTCTTAGACGATTTGTGGACGACAGTAAATCAGCGGCTGGGCTGCAATTTCTTCTATGCATGGACGGTTCTAACCATAGCGTCGTGCAAGCATCGGCTTGATTTTGTCGTGTGCATAGCAGCGCTGGACCGGCACGACCGGGAGCCAGAGCTCGATCAGGGGTCCTCGGCGATGCGCGCCAGGTGCGGGTGCCACGACGTGGCGTGGCTGCCGGTGCTCATGCGCCTCCGGTGCTGCTGCTGCTGCTGCTGCTGCTGCTGGCGACCTTCGACGGCGGCCGTGGCCGCGCTGCCTTCCGACTTGCTCCGGACGTGGTGGCGATGGTGTCGCCGGTCCTCCTCGGCGGCGGCGCCGGGGCTCGGCTCGCGCTTGGTCTTGGTCTTCTTCTTGGCGTCGGCGGGCACGGAGGCGGCCGGGAGGAGGAAGTAGATCTCGCCGCGCTCCAGCTCGGCCTCGGGCGACACGATGATGACGATCCGCGGCCCGCCCTGCTGCCTGGACCCGCAGGGCCGGCTGAGCACGTGGTTCGGGTGCGCCGCCAGGACCTCCCCGGCGAGCACGGCCCGGCCGTACTCGTCGACGCGGCCGCTCAGGTGCACGATCCGGACCAGGTCCAGCGCGCCGCACGGCAGCACGCACGCCAGGCAGCACCTCAGGCTGTTCCCCATTCGATCAGCTCAGGGTTGCTGCCCGCGTAGCTAGCTAGGCGCCTAGCCACCTTCCTCTCTCCCTCTCGCTCTTCTCTATGTAGATACCTCTCTTCTCTTTGGTGGCGTGATGTGACGACCGGAGACGCATATAAAGAGAGAAGATAGGATCGACGAGGAGGCCAAGAAGAATAATGGTCACAGTTTGGTGAGAGAGGTGCCAGCAGTATTAAATCTAGCGAGGGCCACTGATGATCAGCATCACTCATGCATGTGTGTGTGTGCGCGCTTGTCGTCCTGGCCGGCCTTATGTAAATCTAGATCCTTAACGATCGTGTACTAATACTCACGCTTACGCATCCAACACTAATCAGTGCATAAGGAAGGAGCTAGCTAGCCCCATGGCCATGTTCCATGATTTTTTTTCCAAGCTATAGAAACTAGTTGCCTTTTATTTGATTATATATATTTTTTCTCCTCGGTCGACCGATCGGTCGATCCGTTGAGGGGCTCAATAATGGCACAGCACACTGATGCGCACGTACAGCCATGCTGCCTTGCTGTACCGCTTGGTTGTATGCGCTCATCTCATGAGTGCTGCCTGCAAGCTAGTGTGAATCCACAATTGGATATGGGGGTTTTGTTGGGAATGATGATCGATTCATTATTCGGCATGCTTTGCTTGATGATTGTTCGTCTGGTGGATCCATCGCCCAATGGTTTCTTCACGTAGCGTCCGGCCGTGCGTACGTGCAACGCCTTTCTCACGAGGAAGCTAGCGGGAAATGCTTTTGGTGGGCATACGTGCAAGACCTACCCAACCAGAGAGAGCCACCTGTACAACAGCCATAGGAGTACATTTTCTTAGTGCAGTTTTGATAATCCTCAACTGTACAGGTGAGAGGTGAGAGTATAAATATATCTGAGTCGTTGATTGCATTAAGTTATGAGTTTGATTAACTTTTGCCGTCTTACCTCCCATCTGAAAAGAGGGGTAAGCGAAAGCATGTTAAAATTGCTCCAGGAGCAACGAATGTGCGTTACTGTTTTTTTTCCTCTTTTGGGAAAAATGTGCTACTATTCACGGAAGAAGAATGGTTTTTTTAACACAGTACAAACGCAAGCGCTCATATACATACGCGCATACACTCACCCTATTAACACACACACGCACACCCTACCCCTGTGAGCACCTTCGAGAGATTGAGCCGACATATCATCTTGATATTTATGAAGTCACGGTACGCACCTTGTCGTCGACGAGAACGCCTGCTCTCACTGAAAGCGCATCGCCGAAAATCCTGAAATAATCCAGAAATAATGCGAGCGCCAGGACTTGAACCCTGGTGGGCTGGGGATACCACTGTCTCTCTAACCATCCAATCACAGGTTGGTTCACGAAGAAGAATGATTGAAGGAAGAAGATGATCCGGCTGTTCCTTTTTTACAAAACACATTGTCATTAGTAATTTAATGTTTGATTTATTTTTCCCATTGTCATGAATTAAACATTTATTAACATAGGGTCGGAGAAAAATCTGAGATCAAAATATAAATCTTTAAGTAAAGAAACCACCTAAGATATTTCAAAGATTTAACTTTTGATTTTTACACGACAAATTTGAGAAGTCGCATGATCCCATGTGACTTTATGAGAAACCCTAAATTGATTCCCAAACTCATGAGGTGCATATAAACATGCAGAACTTTTAGGATATTTTCAAATCAACACTACGTAGTTACAATATCCTACAACTTTTTTTGTGATTGTCCCAGACACAATCTTTATAAAAAAAATTATCAATACGAAAATGCCATGGATTATAAAATGAATAATTTTTGAATTATAATAACATACTTGTAAGTTGACTTGTATATATTCGCAAAAAGAGTTGACTTTTATCGAAATTTCGATGATTTTTTTTCTGTATACAGTATACACCAACAGGAAACAATATTTCGTGGTGTTTCATTCCAAACTTTTGAACTATGATTTACAATTTTTCATGAATCTCAAAATTTGAAGTTCTCTTTCTGTATGGAAATTTGAAGCCTCTTACAAATGGGAAATCCCGACCACTTTTCTTTACCATTTATCTTACATACTTTACTAGTCACGGAGGACCTTACAACATATCGAAGAAACTAAAACAGACACAACAAATCATGGACATGGAGTTTCTGCTCTCGAGCTCAAATGCACCCTCGTGAGTAGTAAGATCAAAAAATTAGTAAAAACATTACAAAACAATCTGAATTTTTGGCAACAAACATTATTTAATGTTATATATACGTGCCACCCTGAAGAAAAACATTCCTAATACGCTGGAAAAAATATCAATGCTAAGAAAACTATTTTTGAAAGCATTTTGGAGTGATGAATTTGTTATTTTTTGCTGATGCCTCCATGAATGTGATTTCAACATCAAAATTTACGTGCATGCAGAAAACTAAACAATGCTTGTTGTAAAACAAAAATCAATTTTTTATTGTTTTCTATCTTTTTGGATTTTACTATTAATGCAGGAGCATTTGAGCTCGAGATTAGAAGGACACTTTCGGACAACCATCCCTTTTTGTCGACGCTGGTCGCGTTGGAGGCATTGTTTCCTTCAATTCCCAATAAATAACATGATTTTCAGCTATCATTTGTTCAATTTGGTCGCTCATTGGATCACGAAGTTGTGCACGGGCTAGGTTTGTAGAACCATGTCCAAAAAAATTCCGTGTCCGCTATAGCTAGCCTACTACTAATTATATTGGATTATTGAACGCATGATGATTATTTGAGTTGGACGTGCTGGCTACCATACGCGCTGATCGACCTAATGTTGTATGGGGTATTTATCGTTCTAAATAAACGACAAGCTAAGCCTAATAACCCGTCACATGAATTATTGTGCAGCTAGCTAAGCTATACGTTAATTATTTGGTCAATGTTGGGCCTGTGTGTGTGCCACCGTGGTTCGACACATCAACTAGACTAGATTATATCGCATTAGGGACGCCCTACTAATAGTATATTTATAATAGAAGGGACGCCTTACTACTAGTTATTAATTAATTGTTGTATTCCCTTTGTTTTTATTTACTCCTTATATTAGCTTTGATTGAAGTCAAATTTGATCAAGTTTGTAGAAAATGATATGCACATTTATAATAACAAATTTACATGATGTGAAAATATATATAATTGATATTGATTGGTGGTGTATGTGAACATATTTTTCTACAAATTTATTGACGGTGTATAAAATTTCATTTTAGAAAAACCTAATGTGTGGAGTAAATAAAAACAAAAGGAGTACAACAATAAATAAAAATGGAGGGAGTACCATTTTAACTGTAAAAGGAAATTATACGCCTACCTGCTCGCCGCGTTGATCGATCTTGGAATCTGGAATCATGTTAACGCTTGATGTTTTGAGCAGCGCGTGTTTGATTTGTCAAGCTGATGGATGCGAGGCGGAGGCGGAGGCAGCTCTCTGAGATGGAACAAGGTCCTCCTCGCCTAGCCCCGTTCTGGTGATATTTTTAGCATTGTCGGAAGACGTGTGAAGATTTGTCTCCGGCGGATATTATGGAATTCGGTCGACATTTGTTTTTGGTGGATCCATGTGGATTCGATCTTCATTCGTCTCTGTTCATGTGTCTAAAAGTTGGATACTTTTGATTTACACTTTTCTTCATTGGCGACGGTTGCTGTTCCGGTGAGCTAGTCCTATGGGGCTTTAGAGCAACTCTAACTCGACGACTCAAACAGGTGCGCATTTTATCCGCTTTTTGTCTGTTTGGATTGGTCGTCCGCTCGTCGTTAGTTTGGGTCGGCAGTGAGCCCAAAGCGTTGACCCATATTCGCCCGCGCGGCCGGCTTGCCGTCGTTTTTCAAACAAAATACACACATTTTACATAGTTTCACAATCAAACAAATATAGCATAGTTCCACATCCCAAATAAATATATATCATAGTTTTTTTTGCGGGAAAATATATATCATAGTTTATAAGTTGAATAAAAATAAATTATCTCAAATAAATTTAAAAAAGATACATCTATTGGTTGTCAACATGAGCCCACATATGCTCAACCAAATTATCCTACAGCTAAAGGTGAGTTTCCCAATCACGCATTTGATAATGAAATTGGGTGAACTGTGCAATCGTTGCCGCTCCTGTCATCTTGGAACTGAAACCCTTGATCGTAGATACGTTTCGGGCCCATCCACTACAATTATATTGTTCATGATCACACAAGCAGTCATCACCTCCCACAACTTTCTGGTGCTCTAAGTTCTAGCAGGATACCGAACGACGCTCCATCAAGATTGCAGAACAACTTTCTGGATCTGGCACGCTCGACATCCTTCCTAGCACTCTCTTGCTCTTGGAAAATCTCCTCCTCTTCTCTCCGACCGGGTTGGGGATTGTCATCACAATAGTGGTCCACTGAGGATAGATACCGTCGGCTAGGTAGTATCATTTGTTGTAGTTGTGGCCGTTGATGTTAACATTCACTGGCGGGCAGTTGCCTTCGGCAAGCCTTGCAAACACCGGCGAGCATTGAAGCACGTTGATATCATTGTGTGATCTGGCCATTCCGAAGAAAGAGTGCCAGATCCAGAGATCTTGTGAGGCCACGGCCTCAAGTATGACAACGCACTATACTTCCCTTACCAAGCAGATGGGCAGTTATTCCACTCCCAATGCATGCAGTCTATGCTGTCAAGCATCCCCGGGAAGCCCCTACTCGCATTCATCGCCAACAAGCGGGCTGTATCTTCAGCATTTGGCTCTCTCAAGTACTCAGTGACAAATGCTGCAATCACAGCCTTGCAGAAATTGTACATGGAGTCTAGGCACATAGACTCGCTCATACGAACGTACTCATCAATGAGATCACCGGGCACTCCGTATGCAAGCATCTGGATAGCTGCAGTGCATTTCTGATAAGAGGAGAAGCCAATCTTTTCAAGGGCATCCTCCTTGCACTCGAAATACTTATCCTATCCGACCGCCCCCTGT